TGAGTAGGTTCATACAGGTCATTTCTGGATAGTTTCATCATATATATATTGTATTTTCACGAATATAAGGCGCATATAAACGTCTTTTTTCCCCCCTCAAAATGTGCGGCGCGCCCTATAGTGCGATGCGCCCTATGTGTGTTGTTACTGCGGACATTTGAGACCGCCATGAGAACGTTAAAGGGGGAAGTGTGGGCGTGGATTGTGTATAAAAGAACAGGTATGTGCTTTATGCAGAACTCCTCGTCTCCTCATTGAGGAGATGATGAAAGAGTGGCTGAGGGAGGTGAATGTAAGGAGACCAGGTGTTTTTTTCCCACTCATCACCATCGCTGTTAATCTGTGACTCCATGCGTGCCCATCTCACAGCCGATGTGAAAAACATGGTGAAACAAATGAACGCTGTGCTTGCTGTTATTGCGGGAGGTTTGACAAAGGAACCTCAACCGCTCGACATCGGTGTGAACCGGCCGTTAATGCTGCACGGATGCAGCAGGCGCAGCAGAAGCAGCGAGTTTACGTGCAAAGTCAATGGTTGATGCGCGTCAAGGTGCAGCAAAAAGTCCCGCAGCGCGTTTTAAGCAGCAGGCGCATCTGACGCGCGTGACACGCCGCAAACGTGCTGCTGCTCGAGATGGAAAAATTGAAGTTTTGCTGCTTGACGCGGCGCATCAACCAATCAGAGAAGCTGATCTGGGAGCTGACAGCGAGACAGACACAACGCTGATGACACAGAGCGCTGTGATCGCTCCTCTGAAACAGTTTATTAACGAATAAATTAACTTAAAATGCTGAAACCTGCCGGCAGAATATGTTCGCTTTTATTATCCTGCTGCCTGCAGATCGGATTATTTAGATGAAAAACACCTACCAGCCGCCGCGGTAAACCGCGAGGAGGCGACCCGGCCAGAGGCTGCTGTTAAATTAAGTTTTCAGGTGGATTTTCCCACTTAAGAACATATTAAAACTACTTTATTCCCACTGATCACAGCAAATATAGCTGCAGGGCAAAGAAAGGATAGAGTAGCTCCGCCCAACGCGCGTCAGACACACTTTTGCACTGAGCAGCCAGAGCAGCAAAGCTGCTTCAGCCGCGCGTCAGAACTAAACTGGTACAATCTAAACTGCAGGCACCAGGATAATAAAAGCCAACATATTCTGTCGGCAGATTTCTGCATTTTAAGTTAATTTATGCATCAATAAACTGTTTCAGAGGAGTGATCACAGCGCTCTGTGTCATCAGCGATGTGTCTGTCTCACGGCCAGCTCCCAGGTTTGATTAATACTTTGTAATAAATACATGAATAAAGCACAGTCATACTCAGTTTTGCTCCCGCTCTATTTTTAAATACGCAGTAGAGGTATTTAAACGTAGTAGAGGACATGTACCTGTATATAAAAAACGCGGCCTATATGTGTGTTAAATACTGTAATGGCACACATACACTATATTGCCAAAAGTATTTGCTCACCCATCCAAATTATTGGAATCAGGTGTTCCAATCACTTCCATGGCCACAGGTGTATAAATTCAAGCACCTAGGCATGCAGACTGTTTTTACAAACATTTGTGAAAGAATGGGTCGCTCTCAGGAGCTCAGTGAATTCCAGCGTGGAACTGTGATAGGATGCCACCTGTGCAACAAATCCAGTCGTGAAATTTCCTCGCTCCTAAATATTCCACAGTCAACTGTCAGCTGTATTATAAGAAAATGGAAGTGTTTGGGAACGACAGCAACTCAGCCACGAAGTGGTAGGCCACGTAAACTGACGGAGCGGGGTCAGCGGATGCTGACGCGCATAGTGCGAAGAGGTCGCCAACTTTCTGCAGAGTCAATCACTACAGACCTCCAAACTTCATGTGGCCTTCAGATTAGCTCAAGAACAGTGCGCAGAGAGCTTCATGAAATGGGTTTCCATCGGCGAGCAGCTGCATCCAAGCCATACATCACCAAGTGCAATGCAAAGCGTCGGATGCGGTGGTGTAAAGCACGCCGCCACTGGACTCTAGAGCAGTGGAGACGCGTTCTCTGGAGTGACGAATCGCGCTTCTCCATCTGGCAATCTGATGGACGGGTCTGGGTTTGGCGGTTGCCAGGAGAACGGTACTTGTCTGACTGCATTGTGCCAAGTGTAAAGTTTGGTGGAGGGGGGATTATGGTGTGGGGTTGTTTTTCAGGAGCTGGGCTTGGCCCCTTAGTTCCAGTGAAAGGAACTCTGAATGCTTCAGCATACCAAGACATTTTGGACAATTCCATGCTCCCAACTTTGTGGGAACAGTTTGGAGCTGGCCCCTTCCTCTTCCAACATGACTGTGCACCAGTGCACAAAGCAAGGTCCATAAAGACATGGATGACAGAGTCTGGTGTGGATGAACTTGACTGGCCTGCACAGAGTCCTGACCTCAACCCGATAGAACACCTTTGGGATGAATTAGAGCGGAGACTGAGAGCCAGGCCTTCTCGTCCAACATCAGTGTGCGACCTCACAAATGCGCTTCTGGAAGAATGGTCAAAAATTCCCATAAACACACTCCTAAACCTTGTGGACAGCCTTCCCAGAAGAGTTGAAGCTGTTCTAGCTGCAAAGGGTGGACCGACGTCATATTGAACCCTATGGATTAGGAACGGGATGTCACTTAAGCTCATATGTGAGTCAAGGCAGGTGAGCAAATACTTTTGGCAATATAGTGTAACTGAGACTGCGCCTTTTAGTAGGGTGCGCCTTATGGTCGTGAAAATACGGTACAAAAAAAGAAACAACACTGCTTCATATTAAGCAGGATTCACACCAGTATCACATTTTTTAATTTACTTTTAACACTTTTGGTTTTATTAAAGGAAATATCAGATTTTCTCTGGTTCCAAAAAAAATTTAAGATCTCTGTAAAAGCCCCCTTAGAGAGCATAACATTAAGTTAACATGACTATAACAGCTAAATGCAGCGATTTCCATGCTGCTCAGCAAAACGCTTCACAAATTTATTTAGATCCAATGCCTTTGTGGGTTTTGATTACAACCAAACTTGATAGTCTCTTTTCTGTCATAGTTGACCGCAAATAAGTCTTTATGAGGCTGAGACGTCAGGCCTAACTAACATCATAGTTAGAGAAATAACGTTCTGCAACCTGATTTTTATCATCTCAAAATCAGCATTGCAGCTATGCTAGCAACATTGTGCTTTCATTATGATTTCATTTCTCAATAGATAGTTAATCACTTTTTACCTGTCTCCTCCTGTGTCTCCTCTCCCTTTGACCCCTGGCTCCCTCGCTTTGCCCCATCCGGTTTTCAGAACTAATTAGTCTCAGTCGCTCTCGCGTCATCTCGTGCTGCATTCACTGCAGTCCGACATTGGAAATTAACGGTCGCAATTCTCAAATTATCCATAATTTATAAGCCTCGCCACCCCTACAGCCAACTGGGGTGGCAGCAGGGGTGGCAAGGCTGTCATTTATGCCACCCCAGTAGATCCGCCTATAATCACATCAACTTAAGCATACTGATGTGAATAAATATGCTACAGAATATTCCCTGATTTTACTTTAATAATAGTTTGTAGTTCAGGAAAATTTGCTTAGTTTTTTTCAGAAATCCAAACTAACTGAATTCATTTCTTTTTTTTATTGTGTGAATTTACCAATGCTAGAGAAAACAGGGGTTGTTTACTATGCAACCCCATCACAGGAAGATTTATTACAGAACAACACAGCCTACCGAGGAAATTTCAAATCGAACCGACGTAACATCAGTCAACAAAGTTTTTAAAAGGAAATGTCTTTTAAATGGGCAGAAAACAGCCCAGCAGTGTATGTCTCTGCATTGCACCGTGTTGAAATGTTTGGTAGTATGTAAGTGTTCTGCTGTAGAGCGCATATTAGTAACAAAAAGTTCCTTAGAGCCTCACTCTAATGGAGCACCAACCAAACGGGATAAAGTAGTCATATTAAATGCAGAGGGCTTTCCCGGCCTCTTTTTCATACTTTCAGTTTTATTTTGTATAAAACATAGAATGAGATACCAAGATGCTAATAACTGAAAACTTTCAGTAAAATATGGGCAATGAGTTAGATTTTTAATGCAAATGTTTCAGATTGGTTCTCTTGTGAATGCAGGAGCACTCACTTGAGCCAGAGTTTCTCAAAGCAAATGAAACCTCAACCAGGTGAAAACATGCTGTTATGTTATGGGTGTAGCCTTTGCAGGATGGTTGACTAAAACCATGTGAGGTGTTAAAGGTACACTATGCAACCGGTGTTGATTTTCCAGCGAGGCTCTCCCCAGAGGGCGAAAGTAAAAGTGCACTGTCGTAAATATGCTCAGCTGTTCTCCTGGTTCTTCCGTCAAGCCAGGCGCGGTTGTTTTGAGCTTAGCAGACAGGCGAACGCAACGATTCACCATGTCTACTGTGGTAAGTGACTATTTTGTTCCAATTTTCGAGTTTGAAAAAGCCTTGCAGCCTTCTTTTTCTTTTAGCTCTCGCCATTCGGAAAAAGTTTGCCCGATGTTCACCCGTGTACGACTCCTCTCTCTGTCCGGAGCCCTTTTCCTCTTTCTTGCCTGCTCCGACATGAGCTTTTGCTGTTTTCTCGCTGGTTTCGCCATGATAACTGCACAAATATCGCCACTGCGCTAGCAGCGAGCATGCCTTTCACTGGGGGCGTGTAGCAGTTCTCGCCGTAAAGCAAGACCGACTCTCGCGATGCACGAGACTTCTGAGCCTGTGGGTGCGGGCCGAGGGCTCCTGCAATTGCAAGTACGGTATTTCTCCTACAGACCACCAGGGCGGCCGAGAAAACCTTTGTTCGACCTGAAATGACTCATTTAATCATCCAAAACATTATGGAACACATTAATTAACTGAAAAATGTTGCATAGTATGCCTTTAAGTTAGTAAAGGAGTAGTTCAACAGTCCTGATGTATACCAAATGGAGCAAAAGCAATAAGACAGAAAAGGGCCACAAAGCAGATGGAAAATTAAGAATTCAACTTTTCTTACATCAATGTAGTTTGCGTTGACATAATCTGAGTCAGGATCTGCCAGGAGAGAAAGGAGCTTGAGTCGCCGATCCGCTACAAAGAAGAAGGACAATTATTAGAACCCCAAATGCATCAATTTGTTCCTTTGTCAAATAAAATGCATGTTAGTGAACTTTAGGTGAAATTAAACAACTTCCTGACCATGACCTTCCGCTTTCCTTATTCAGTCGGGCTTCCATGCTCACCGCTGAACAGAGACTGTCCTTATAAAGGGTTTAGTGATATCTATATAAATACAGACCATGGAAGTACCACAGTGATGCTATTATTGGACCTTAGTGGAGAATTCAATACTGCTGATCACTTCATTTTATTAGGGCCTCTAAAAAACTGGGTCTGACTTTCTGCTGCAGGACTTGACTCGTTTAAATCCTACTGGAAGGACAGGGACTGTTTTGTGTCAGTAGTTAATTTTATATCAGAAACCATAAGATGTGTTAAGACGGACCCTTGGGGGGTCCATTTAGATCTTATTAACCAACAACATAAGTTACCATAACATACAGCTAAGCATTACGATGTCACCAGGTTGCTATGAACCTATTCAAGTCCTGGGTAAATGGCTAAAGAAACCAACACATCAATGTGCCAAAATGTTATAAACTAAAACAAAAAAAACCTGAAGTAATAATTTCTGGACCAAAGGAAGAGCTTTGAAAGGTTCGCACATACATAATACAGCTGGAAAAATTAATCTGCCTTGAAATGGGTTTTGTGATGGACTCAGTTAAAGTGTTAAAGCTGGCCTTTTATCATCTAAAGAATATATCCAGGATTAAAGAGCTAAGGCCTCAGCAGAACCTAAAAAAATATTTATGCATTTATCTTAATTGGAGTTGATTACTGTAAAAGTGGATCAACAAACTGCAGTGGATCCAGAAGGCTGCTGCTCATGTCTTAAACAGAATTAAGAAAGTTGAGAACATCACCCCACTTCTAAAGTCGTACCCCGTAAGTCAACAGAACTTAAAGGAATAGTACACCCAAAACATGATTAGCCTTCATTTTCCACTCACCCCCATGCTGAACAACACTCTGGAGTACTTTTTTGATATCTCAAATGCATCTGGAGATCTGGGAGGCTTCTTGCTGTCTGCTGACATTCAAATAATGGAGGTCTATGGCGCCCGAGGCAGAAAGGTCCATAAAAGTCCACAAAAAACGTGTCAATATTCCTCCATACGGCTCGTCCAATGTATTCCAAGTGTCCTGAGTGGGTAGCATCCAGAATTTACTCGAAACGAAGTCATTTAGAATGTTTTTAGAGCATAAACAGTAGTGTATAGGATTTCCTAAAAGCGAGTTCACGAGTCTACGGAAACCGCGGCAGACCAAACCAGACGAAAGTGCGCATTCAGCGTCTGCTCTGCCGATAATGCAAGTGTAGAAGAAGAAATGTGCTGTTTACCTGTGCAAAGAAAGAAACAACGAAAGAAAAATGTCTGAGGACTTCAGTGTTGAGGAAGAGCATGAGTTCTTTGCCGAGCTGAATGCACACTTTCATCTGGTTTGGTCTGCCGCGGTTTCCGTAGACTCGTGAACTCGCTTTTAGGAAATCGTATACACTACTGTTTATGCTCTAAAAACATTCTAAATGACTTCGTTTTGAGTAAATTATGGACGCTACGACCTCAGGACACTTGGAATACATTGGACGAGCAGTATGGAGGAATATTGACACGTTTTTTTGGGGACTTTAATGGACCTTTCTGTCTCGGGCACCATAGACCTCCATTATTTGAATGTCAGCAGACAGCAAGAAGCCTCCCAGATCTCCAGATGCATTTGAGATATCAAAAAAGTACTCCAGAGTGTTGTTCAGCATGGGGGTGAGTAGAAAATGAAGGCTAATCATGTTTTGGGTGTACTATTCCTTTAAATGCATTTATAACTAAGAAGAACTTGGAATAAACATAATTAAGTTTGTATTTTTTTGTAATATTATACTGGACTACATGTTTCTGTACACAGATATTTATTATTAATATGTGATAAGATATATGGGATGACAATAAGTGTTTTCACACCAAGGAAAGGCCTTTGGACCACTTGTTTGGCTTGGACTAGGGATGAACAATTTGGCAAAAAATGAAAATTGTGATTATTTTGAACCAATATTGCAATTGCAATTTTTTTTTCCTTTGCACCAAGTTTTATTCATAGTCCATTGTTGCAAGACTTTCCTGTTAGCTTTGTGTGAAAAAGTACTAAATTCTACTTTCATGCATGAATCTGCATGCCTAACCCTAACTCTGTCTTCCCGTTCTGTGGTTGTAATCTTTTATTATGAATATTACTGCCACCTAAAGGGATGGACTAAGAAATGTACATATAATTGAGCGCATCTATAATTTGAAAAGTGGGTTTTCTTAAAGTGTGATTGCATTGCAAATGCAACTAATTGTCCAATCCTAATCAGGACTTTATTCTTTTTTTTCATTTGCTGCCATTTCCTTTAACACTTTTCTTCTTGCAAGTGACTATAACTTGGACCAAAGCCACATAATAGATGATCTTTGCTTCCATTGGACAGAAATGAGTGAGGTGATAAAGGAAAGACAAAGAAATGGTGAAAAGGCTGTAATGAAGTCGTAGCTGTAGCTCCGTTGTTCTGCATATTTATGGTGTTATTTATTGAGTGTCAAGAGCAGCTCATTTAGTCCAGGTTTCATGTATAATTTTTTAAACTGAAATGGATGAAGCTACAAGCCTGACGAGATACTCGGCATGCTGGCAAGCAGTGTTACTCAGCATGATACAGTGGACCAGGTATGAATTAGGGTTATGCTGATAGCTATGGTGGCTTAGATGACCCTAAGATGATTTCACTGAATTAAATGTATTTGAAGATGTTCAGTTTGATACAATAAAATAAAAACGAATAAAACAGAGTTGTTCTTTTTTTTACTTTTGCCCCTCTAAATATGCATTGATTTGTTTTAGGTGCAATATCTGAAGGTTATGAAGAGATGTCTTAAAGTTATAATTCTTAGTGCAACAATGTTTATGACCGACACCAACAATAGGTAAAATATGCATTTGACAACTTGGAGTAAATATTGGAAAATATCTAAAACAATATTGGGCTGTATTTAGGACATATCATATAAAAATAGTTCAGTGGCAATATGTTGTCAAAGCATAAAAAAACAACAACATTAAAATAGAAGAGAAATAAATCTAAAACATTAAATCAAAAGACAAATTGTAGAATTGCATTTATCAGTAAACACTTTTAATAAATTTTTTTATTTTTAAAATATAAAAGCCCTAATCTTCAGCAATGGAAATTACACTTGATAAATTGTTCATTGCCATAAAAATGACAATAATACTAAGCCTAGACTTAAATATAGGTCGACTGAGCTTGAGCCTAAATCTCTTTGTAATCTTCTACTTAATAAAATACATTAGCAATACTCACGGCCGAGCAGGTTGTCACATCGTCCTTTGGTCTTGTCTTTCTTTTTAATGACATCCCGTGCATTGAAAAAACTCTGCAAAAATAAAAATTTACAATTTAAATTCCAGTAAACCGAAGGCTGACAGTAATACAATTAATAAACAGTTGCTGCCTACATTCAAACACTTGAGAAAAACTATTTGGAGAGTCAACCAAATTTTTCAACCTATTTTTTTCTATCGCTTAGTTAGCTTTAAAATGTGATAAATAAACAACAAACTCAACATAACTTACAATAAAGATCAGAAATATAGGGATTTTTTTCTAATAAATTCCTGTGTGTTACACAAAGGTCTGTTTGGCTTCCAAATTAGCGAATTTTGCCAAGTCATCAACAAAACTCTTCACAGAGAGAGTAAAACTGCACTCAACCTCTTTAGACAGAAAAAGGTTGTCTGGTCAAAAACAATAGATGCTAAAAGTGATGAATAAACATCCCAAGATAAAACCAAAAAGTCTAAAGGAAAGGATTTTGATGATTCAAGCTCTGCTGTATTCCTTTGCATTCATCTTGACTGATCTCTCCTATTTACAGTTAATCATAATAAGGTTCTAATATCAAGACCTGCCGTCTCCTAACTGCTGTAAGCTGATAACTCCTGAGGGAAACTAGAAGAACTTGAGATTAGGTAGAGCTGGATGAGACGAAAAGACACATACAAGGTGCTATTGTATACAAGAAATAACTCATCTAACGCTGTTTACGAAACATATTTGCATATATAAAAACATATCAGATTAGTTTATTATCAGTTAGGGATGGGCGATATGTTATCGTGTACAATACATCGTCAAAGAAATTCCTCATGGTAACAATTTGTCATCTTGCGATAAAAACTCCCGCCGGTGACGTATACTGCGCGTGACAAACCTGCAGTCCAACTCACGTGCGCAAACAACAAGCATGGCGGAAGGTGGAGGATACGTGCCCCAAGACCTGGTTCCAAAAAGAGGTTCCAGCTCCGTTATCTGGAACTGGTTTGGATTTAAAAAGTCTGATACGGAGCAGAAAGTCGTAATATGCAAAGTTTGCAGAAAACCTGTGACGACAAAGGACAGCAACACTACCAATTTATTTCACCACCTAAAACACAAACGGGAATATGATGCTGGTCAGAAGATGCGCTGCGATGCAGCAGAAGCCTCGACTTCAAAAACCTCTGTTAAGAAACCGACTGCCACTCAAACAAAACTTGCCGACGCGTTTGCTCATTCCACACCATATGACAGCCAAAGCGAGCGATGGAAAGAGTTAACAGAGGCCGTTGCATAGAGAGGTATTTCTGTTTTTATATTCTTGTTAAATTTATTGAAATAATTTTTTTTTTATTTCGTTGTTTAGCATGCTGACAATCCTGCTAGTCTTATTTGTACATTCTTGAACAAAGAACTATTTCAGGTTTTACATGTTTGTTGGAAGTTATTGAAATTATTTATTTCTACTTTAGTATTTAGATTTTTCTGTTTTTTCCCTTTATTTATCATTCCATTTGCACAACAGCAAAAAAGGTTGTTACAGGTTGGTATAACATTTGCATTTTATTTTTAGTGAAGTGAGTGTAATGTATGTTAGAACTTGCACTGGTATTTATTTATCCAATATATGGCATGTTCCAGCAACTGGTAATTTACACATCTATTTATATCAGGAGGTGATTACTGATTAGTTTTCATTTTCAGTGAAAGTTTCTCAATTTATCAGGTTGTATTTACAGTTGCACTACTTTGCAACTTTTATAAGCCAAGTTATATTTGCTGTGTAGCATTTAAATAAATGTGAAATTTGTTCTCATATTTCAGGCTTGTTTGATTGGTTTGATACATTAGGCTGATATTGTGTTTTTGTTTTGTTTTTTTTCGTCACTTATCGTTATCGTGGTAAAACCTAGAAATTATCGTGATAAATGTTTTAGTCCATATCGACCATCCCTTTTATCAGTGCTTAAATGGACACAGGGTTCACTAGCTCATTAAAGATGAGTGTTGGTGTGGTGGGGGAACAGGGGTAAGTAAGCCTGAAGTGCAGAGGCCTGACCCTCAGTTCACAGGACGTGGAAGCAGTGCTGGGGTGCCACAGTGCAGCTGCTGCACTTTCACGGTCAACAGTATCACAGTAAATCTGGTCCATTAGAGCAGCTCTGCCCAGCTGCCATGATGGATTTAGAAAGCATCTCTGTGCAACTCTGCACTCCCTGCTCAAATTTACACATTCTATTTATGCTGCATGCCACAGCGACTCAACCTCAATCTGGAGCAGAGCGAAACATTCAGGCAGGAAGGCAAAGTGGATCCTGTTTACAACTAAAAACTTCTGGACTTCTTTTTAAATACTGTTCATTCAGGTAACGGAAAGCCAAAATAAATATGAGCACTGAATGTGAAGAAAAACTAAAAAACAAAGTTGTTTGTTTGCAGGATACAATGAATAGTAACTATATCTGGTGGAATATAAGCTGGTAAACACCTTTGATTATAGATGATAGAGTTGGGCAAATTTTTTATTATTTGGTACTGTTTCTTTCCTAGACGAACCCACAGTGGAGCTAATTTATCAACACCTTTTGTAGGTCTGATTCTCACTCTTTCATCCACAGTGGGCCCCAGCAGATGGTCGTTCACAGTGAGCGTGGTTCTGGAGGTTTCTTCCTGTTAAAAGGGATTTTTCTCTCCACTGTCTCCCCTACATGCTCGGTGTGAGGGGTTTCTGTAGGGTCAGCAACAAATTGCAAGCCAAAACATCAATGACTCGACGCGATCAGCTTGGTTTCCTCAGAAATATTTTAACAACCTGACTGTGGGATCTGGTTGAACTATCTCTGTAATGTCCCTTGAGATTATGTTTTGAAAATTGGCTGTATAAAAGTAAACTTAATTCAACTGAAGTAATAAAACACATGTGGATAAAAATCAAATGATTCCTTTAACTGTCAATGAGATTTCTGCTTCCCTTTGCAGGTATTTTGGTCCGCTCCTCATAAGTAAACAGCTCCAGATGTCATAGAGTTGAAGGGCGCCTTTTCCAGACAGCACGTTTCAGCTCCTTCCAAATATGCTTTAAATTATTGATTATGGTCGGGCTGATAGATGGCCACTAGAATAGACTAATGTTTTCCTCTTAGCCATTCATAGTTGATTTTGCTTTATTTTATTCATTTATTTATTTTGATTAGGACAACATGTCAGCTTAAAACATCAATGTAAATAGGCCAGAATTAGCACAACAGCTAATTTGCATCCACTGTCCTAAGGCAGGTAAAAACAGTGAACATTAAACAAGACACTACGGGAAAGAACACAAACAGATAAGATGCCAATAGCATGAAATCTAAATAAAATTAGGTTTGCAGGCAAACAGAAACACATTAATTCACCTGTGAACACACGCCTGGTTAGTTTTCATCCAATCTTTCAAGCAGATTTTAAAACTTATGTAGGTTGAACAGCCACTATACTGCAAAAAAAATTTAAATCTCCATAAGTCATTTTTTCTTAAAATAAGTGCATTTCTTCTTGAATTGAGGAGATAAAAGATAAATTTTGCAAATTGACAAAGATAATTTACATTTAAAATAAGAAAAAAAACATTGCATTGTCTTGTTTCTATAACATATTATCTAATTATCTTATTCTAAGAGTGAATTTACTCATTCCATTGGCAAACTATCTCATTTAACCACTCAAATTAAGGGTAAATACACTTAATTTAAGACATTTTTACTCCTTTCTAGATCATTTTTTTTCCAGTGTAAAGCTGGCAGTGTGTTCCATGACTGTGCTCCTCTGATGGATGCAACCATTTGGCCAAATTTGGTCCTACGCCGCCGAACATTACAGTCTCCTCTGGTTAAAGCCCTGGTGTTTATTCTAGTAATGTTTTTTTGCTTATAAAATCTGTTAGAGGAGGAGGGGCAATTCACAATATGTCAATGGACTTTACAGAGAAGGTTTAGGCAGATAATGCAGTCAGATGACAGAGGCAAAAATCTACAAAGTTGTCTGTTGAAAGACACATAATCTGTAACTAAGATCAAGCTTTCTGCTGTACATTTCTCTCTAGAATCCTTTGATAGTCCTGGGATTTCATTGTACCCTGCAGGGCTTCAAGACACCCTGTGTCAGAAGCAAAGTAGCTCCTGAACATATCCGAGCCTCCTAATGTTTTAGTGTACGATGTTCTCTTCTTAATCTACTTAATTCTTCCCACTGAACTGCTAAAGGCTGAGCCTGATCAGTGTCCGGCTTTCCTCACCCAATGTGAAATTCATTTTGAGCTTCAGCATTCTGCGTATCCTACTGGTGACCTACATAATTTCATAATATCTGTGTATGTATAGAGCTATGCATAGAATTTGCTCATGGTGGCGCCTAAAGGCAGCAGCTTTTCAACAGCACTCAACAATTCCCCAAAATATGCTGCCTAGAAAGCCACAAACTATACATCTATGACCTCCAGTGCCTGCTGGAGCACCTGTCATCAAGTGTTTTTTTCTGGACTCATAGATACAGCCACTCTTGAGCTTTTAAAAAGCTTCAAAGTGCTTAGGTCAGATGCAAACAGAACAGTGGACCAATGGAGCAGGCCAAGCCAGAGAAAGAGCAAGGGGAAGCGAAAGACGGTGTAAACGGGGCTGCAGAGGTTGGCTAACAGCAAACCTTAGAAAAAATCCCCAGAGACCGTCGCTCCCTTCGATCCTGCTCCCCAATGCCCACTCACCGGAGAACAAAATGGATCATCTTCAACTCTAACGCTTTTCAAAGAAGGAGATTAGTAACTGCGGCGCCCTCATCCTGTCCGAGTCATGGCTTAACTCATCAATACCGAGCCTGGAGGGACTCACACTATACGGAGCTCATAGGAACTTCGGACTCAGCCTTAAGACTAGAGGAGGAGGATTGTGCATCAACAGCAAGGGGTGTAAAAATGCTAAATTTGTCACCAGTTTCTGCTCTCCAGAGATCGAATTCTTGACTGTTAACTGCAGACCTTTCTATCTGCCTAGAGAGTTCACGGTTGGTAGTGTCACTGCCATATATGTGCTCCCCAGCACTAATACCAGACTCTAACCCTTAAACAGATCTGTGAGCTTCAATCTGCACACACAGGGCGTTTTCATCATTGCTGGGGATTTTAACCAGGCTAATTTGAAGACTGTTCGCCCTCATTTTTAGCAACATATGGACTTTGCAGCTTGCAGACAGAACACTGTTGACCTGGTCTACCCCAACATAAAGATGCATTCAGATCAGCCCCCCCAACTCTAATTCTGCTCATCAGACCACTTATCTGTCATGCTAATTCCTGCATACAGGCCCTGTCTTATTAGGGCTAAACCTACAGCGATGCAGGTCAGGGTGTGGATTAAGGGGGCAATGGAGGCACTGGAACATGTTAAAAGCTGCAGCTACGTATGACAACAAGATCAATATCGACGGGTATAACGTGACTGTATCAGCCTACATCAACAAATGCATTGAGAATGACAGCATCACAAAGAACATCATCACCCGGGCCACTAAACAACTCTGGATGACTGGGGAGGTTGGAAAATCACTAAAAGCATATAATTCAGCCTTCAGGTCTGGTAACAGAGAGGAACTGAGGACAGAGAGAGCCTTAAACCCTGCCACCAGATCAGTGTAGCAGAACCACAAGAAGAAAATCCAGGATCTTTTCCATTCAAAAAAGGCCACTAGTGCCTTAAACCCCTAAAAACAAAAGAAAATCTTTATAGACAAATAGACACATGATGCCAGATACATCTGCATTAAAATACCTTCATAAAAGTGGCTCTTAAAGTATCTAATCTAAACAATGACAACAACCATACCTTTTTATGTCAATGTCTGTGTTGCGAAAATGTGTTTGTCTCTGACTTTATTCAACCTAGTTTGTAAAGAAGAGTAGACTCCAAAATTGGAGTGATAAGGTAATGTCATTAAATGGGCGGCGGCCATTCAAGGAGAGGGTGATATTGTCATGAAAAATGTCTCTTTTCAGGGTTGGATGAAAACAACAATTATATCATAGCAAATGTATACTCAGTGGTGCCAAAGGCAATTTTCCACACATATATGCCCACAGTGGACTTTGGGAGGCTTTAAAAAATCTTTATAAAGAAACTTTAACACAATATTCAGATTTTACACTAAGTGGGATAAAAAAAAAAAAACATTTAACTTGTACCTAACCTTGACATAAACTTTTAGATTATCTTTATGCACATCTTCTTGAGCACGTATTAAGTTCTGAGCTGTCTTTTTGCCCACTGTCTCACCTCATACTCTTGCTTGAAGCCGTATCCTTCAGATGTCTTCATGTGGTTGATGTGCTGAAGGAGGTCTGCCACCCTCACCGCTGGGTGGAGTTGACCTGTGTGATAAGGTGAACTCCTTCTCTGACAGTGATGCTGGGGTGAGCTTCCCAATAAGCTGCTGGATTCAGTGGAGGAGCTAAGGTGTTCATCTGGGAACACAGGTCAAATCATATTGTGCACAATGTAGACAACAGGAGACATATCCTAATCCTTATTATTTTCTCATTTCAGTCTTTTCAAATTCATGCAAATAGGTCTAGGAGGCAGCTAAGGGAGGGGGGAGTCTGCACTTCCAAATGAAGGCCAAACAGAGCTGCAAATAAATCTATACAGACAAGTGAATTCGCTACCTGTAAGGACTCCTGTTTTTGTGTTTGTGTTTCTGTGTTTGTCTCCCTTCCTCCACCAGGAGGCGCCTGGTTCTGGTCCGCCTCCTCACACACCTGCTGATGGTTTCCTCGTTAAAAGGAGTGTTCTTAAGCTGCTGACTGCCACTACCTTGACGCCAGAGTGTTTGCCAGTTTAGGGTACTCTAGTCAAGTTGAGTTTTTGTCAACCTGAGTTTAACTTTGTTTTTGTCTTTGCCTCTTGGCAGGAAGTTGTCCTGCTAACTGGATTTCTCGGACCTTCACACCCTGGAAGGATCAACTGAGCTTCAAACTGAGCTGGGGTTCAAACGGAAGGTTTGGATCCACTTTCCCCAAGAGATCGTTTGAGCTTCTCACTGAGAAAGGGATTATTCTCCACTACGACCTGTTCAATCTGAGTGGCAGTCAGTTTCTCCGTTTACCCACTAACAACCGCATTCTGGGTAAAAGCTGTTATGCCCTCCACCGAATCAGACAAACACTGGAACCACGGCACACAGACAGGAGTCAAGGATTCAACAACTTCTCTGAAAACGTGAGTCTGCAACCAAATCCTCTTCTCCAAGTTTCACGAGTCAAATTCCCCACTGAGCCTGAACTAACCGCTGTCATCCCCTCACTTTACAGTTCCGGTTGAGCAGTGTTCAGAGCAACACTTCTCCCTCTGTTTAACCACTTCAATAAAACCCGTTAAACCTTTTCCCTGATCTCTCTGTTTGGTTTTTCTGCATTTGGGTCTGAACTTTGTAACATAATGACATTACCACAGCACCAGATTGCAGACCTTTGGAAGCAGACCAATTTAAAGGTCAGAAAAGACGGAGGGTCTTTCTCCATGACAATTTCTCAACACTGGCCATATACTCCCTGCGTTCTTACATCGAGTGATGCAGCCCTTGGTGTCCATTAAGGGGCGAATTATCTTCTCGTGGTGTTGGAGGGTGCTCTGCTCAGTCATATGGCAATCCAAAGGGCTCAGTTTGCAACTCTTCTCCCGCATGTAGGACAGGGCTGCCTTGTTTATGGCCACCTTCTTTCTCCTGCAGAAAAATTGGACGACAGAGAGTAGTAACAGAAAGAGGCCAGCGGAAAAGAGTATGAAGATTGAGTTTATGCAGTCAAAAGAGATCAGTAAGGCCAGTAGCAGCAGGCTGGTGAGGGAATGATGAATAAAGTATAAGACGAGGAAACATTAAAATCTGATGAAACAAGATTGCAATTATTGGTGGCAATACTTGTTCTGTGGAGTTAAAAGGAGGTAGAAAGAGAGTGGAGGTAGGTAGGGAGTGAGAAGGTAAATGTGGTTTGTACAATAGCATGAGATAAGCAGTGCTCTTCCTTGCTACTCTTGGGCTACAGAGGACAATGGGGGCGTTAAAGCACAGAAAGTGAGCAGTAACTTACGGATTATAAGGGTAAAAATAGAAGTCCATTCTGATTAGCATGAAGAAAAGAGAAACAAAGAGGAAGAAAAAAACAACAAAGAAACAACGTTTTTATGAGTCATCAAACTAGCAGCTATTTAAAGACTTTAAATGTCATTTTCAAAAACACAAATAATACATTTCAAGCAGTTTAAAGGTGTTCAGACTTCTGGAATAGCTAGATTCTCAGCAAAAACTGACATTTCCCTTATTAGCTAATATTGTAAATTTACAAATAACCATTGTGCACTACGGTCAATTTATGAACGTTCCACAGACAACCAATATTGAAATAGAGATTGGGCTCATTGTGGTTAACTTTAAAAATCTGTATACAAATATGAGCTTTATTTTGACAATGGAGGATATAAGACATTTACAAGAAAATGACATTAGTATGTTTTTGAGATCAGCCAAAAGCAGCGAGTGTAACATGCTTTTTACACCAGGGGCGGATTTAGGAAATTTGTGGCCCTAGGAAAACTAAATAGGGCCCTCTGAAGACAACACATAAAACAGACCCAATATACAGATACAGAACTTTTAATAGAATAGGCATACATATATTAGTTCTAGGTTTTGTCCCTCTTTTATGGTCCCATTTGTTGTTGTTTTCCACTATCTGTTTTATACTCAGCTGACTTTTCATGCCTCGGCTAAAGTAAACACATTCCTCCTTTTAACTGTAGACAAGCCATGATCTCACACTGCCGTTCACACTGAGCCTGATTCTGCAGGAGGTTTATTCCTGTTAAAAGGGAGTTTTTCCTCTCCACTGTCGCTACAAGCATGCTTAGTGTGAGGGATTGCCTTTGAGTCAATGAGTCGCTGCAATCAACTGGTTTTCCTTAGAAAACTTTTAATCAATTTGACTGGATGATCTGGTGAACTGTAAAGAACCTTGAGATGACGTGTTGTGAATTGCCGCTATATAAATAGATGGAATTGAATTGATCTGCTTATCTGTTCTCCATTTTTCATTTGAATGAAATAATAGCTGCATGAATCATGACAGCAGACAAGATAGAGGAGAGCAGGAGGCGGGGTTACCAATCTACTTGCTCTGGAGAGCAGAGTTCGCTGCTTTTAGATGCTGTCGCCAAAGTCTAAAGCAGCAGAAAAAAGTCACTAGATATGTCGATAGGCGCTTTTATTAAAAAAAGGAGTCTGAAAAGTCACTAAATATAGCGACTAAAGCGCTAAGTTGGCAACACTGCTCTTCACTGTTTGTTTTCAAATGGTTTGCTGCTGTCTGGACCTTTCTGGACATGTGCAGCAAATGGACTGATCCAATGGGGTGGGCACTCCTAATATTATAAGCGTTCTGAGGGTATTTTAGCCAAAGGATTTATTTTAAAAACATAATTATTGTGCACAGGTAAGCCATAGTTGCATTAACTATACATGTAAACTGAGTTTTATGAGGCCCCCAGAAACTTGGGGCCATAGGCAACTGTCTAGTAAGGCCTATTGATAAATCCCCCTGGTATACGCAAAATAATTTAATAGATCTCAAATTAAGCAAATAGTTGTGTAGAAAGGTACACAGTACTGCTTTAAACACAGTTCTAAAAAGTTGGAAATTTAAAAACAATGGGTCAAAAGTGTAAGTTCATCAGATCAAAACTCTACTTCAATGTGTGAGTAAACATGTGTTTATCAAATATGTATAATTCTAAATATCTGTCATTGTCTATTTTATACACTCCCTATCAAATATCCAACTTTTAAACAAGACCACCCCTCAAGAGATATGAATCTTACCAACCCCCCACTAAAAAGATGCAAAAAAAACAAAAAAACAACAGAAACACCTTGCTAACCAATTACCAGGCCATCCTCTGGCACCTGCCAGTTGCTCGCCTCAAGTAGTTCAGTGGGCAATGCAATTACATTTCCCATGATGAAAGTTTTCACACACAGGTGAGTGTTCCAAAAAAAACCAACATTAAAAAGTAAAGTTAGCTTACAAGCAAAATGAACTGTCACAATATTTGTGTTTTCACAACTCCTAAAAATAAACCTTGCCAGAAGCCTAAAGATGTATTAGTATCAAATACAGAAATATTTTGAACTAATTAAATGCAATGATGTGTATGATGACCAGAATCAGCAAGCTAAAGCAAGACAAGCATGCATGTACTTGTTAGCCATTAGCTGCCATACGTGACTCTTGTGATTCGGTTTATTTCAGCTGGAATATGCTCTAATTCATTTTTTGAAAAATTAGCAAACCAATGCATTTTGTTCCTTGGTGGATGGGAAATAGGTTTTCTTATTCCTCTCTACCAGTTTTGATTTATTTGTTAACTCCTCTATGTGTGAAACAAATCAATGTGTTACATCACAGCTGCTACTGGTGTTGCGGTTGTTGGAATGGTCGACATAGGAGGCAGGCGCCACTAGGTGATTTATCCAATCAGCTAAAAAATCGTACTGAATTTCCCTACCTTTTGCAAACACTTTCCACAGGAGCCTTTCCAGATTGATACTGCTTAGAAGTCAAACTGAACTACATGGATTATGGCAGGTTCAAAGAAAAGTAAACAGCAGGTGTTATTGATGACAGAGGTAATTAACAGGTGGAAAGAACTGAACGACTCCAATCATGACCAAATATGTGTGTAAATAAGCTCATGAAGAAATCAAACTTGAAAGCAAATTTGAATAAAAATGCATTTAGAAAATATAGGTTAAGAATTTGGGATTAATGCTCCATCATTCTAATTGACTCTAGTTATAATTTACTTGTATGGCTAGATGCTTTAATCAATTAAGCCTTGAGCCTAATGGGAAAATGTTGGATTACTTTCTCCACAGGTACAAAGAGAGCTGATACCATGGCTGCTTAAAGGTGTTACCAATCTCACGCCTTTGGGTCATAGAGAATACTCACCTCTTTTTCACAATGATGATGATGCCCAATAGGAGGAGAGTGATGACTATTAGACCTCCAGCACAGGCTCCCAGGATTGGACCAATGTCCTCAACATGCTTGGATACCTCTAGTGTTCTCTTGGAGTCCTTATAGGCAGCTAAATGTTAAGGTAAACCAAGATAAAAGGAGGTAAAATAATGTTAACTTCACTATACGTCAGTTTATAAGGAAAAGACAACAATAAAACATTTAGACAGACAAATCCATCAAAATTAATTTAACAACAAACAGGTTAAGATAGAATAAACAGCAGCATCCTCTGTAGGTCACTGAGAGGTAAGGGATTTTCTACACTGCGGATTTAAAGGCACATGGATTTGGCTAACATAAGGGTGAAAGCCTGGCTCACTGAAGAACATATGATACCATGCAAGAAAGAAAATAATTAATCTTAAAACTGATTTGGTATCAGTATTAATGTATGTTTTTGAAAGCTGATGTCTAAGGGCTCACCCAAAAGATATTTCAGACTCATTGGATAATTGTTCATAAAATTATGGAAAGTTAAATTAGTTAAGAAATTTAACTCACCAAATAAAAACAAACAAATTCCAAACAGAGTGGGCCTCTCAAATCATTATTTCCATCCTGATTACTTATAACCCTGATAATTAATTTATGAAAAATTTAAGCTGACAACGAATGAAATGATAACATTAGTAAGCTAATGTTGCATCAGATCCCAACACACCCAAAATAAACATATTGATATGGGAAATATGGGGTTTAAAACAAGTACCTTTAATATTGTAACGGTTCTGTGTTTGGTTCTATTGGGGTCCATACGGTTATTTGTATTGTGTTCCTTATCTTTATTTGTTTTCCTTTGCCGGACTCTGTTGACTCCTGCTCTCATGTGATTGGCCTGTTACATCATGTGGGGGGAGCCGGGTGAGCAGCAGTTCGAAGACCGGAAATAGTGTGGGAGAGGAGTGAGGCTAAAGGCTGATTTCTACTTCGAAACCAGGTCGTCTGTGAACAAGAAGACGTCCCCGCCCCCTCCGCAGACTCTCTGCTGCTCCTCTCCAAAATTGTAGCTGACTGCAGACAGGAGGCCGGCTTGTTTTGTTTTTATGACCGAAATTGCGGAAAACAACTCGTGAAGTTTGACCAGCTAGAAGATGGAGGTACACGAGAACGCTGGGACCCTTTTTCCACTTGGATCCCTGCTATTTTTCGCCATCATGTCCCTCCGTTGTCGGATTAAACTCGCCCCCACTTCCTCATCGTCTCGGCCGTATCTAGACCCACAGCGTATAGTGCAGACCACGCTTCAATTTTGAGCATAAATCGAAAATGTCTGCATCAAGCTCACTGCGACACACTGCTGTAAGAGTATAACCAGGCCTTAACACTAAAGCTGCTTCTGTGTTCTAGCTATGTTGTTAGAGGCGTGAGCTGTAGCCTTTAGGAATAATAACTCGAATCTTGTTGACGACAATACCTTGGTGTTGCTGGCGTCATTACAATATCTTAAGATTATAATTTTCAAAATGTAGTTAATCTGACATATTAATCATATATGATGAATATGATGTTATTTCAATAATGAAGCATTTTGCCCTTGCAGAGAGTCGATGCTGCAAAGTCACTGACTACCTGCAGATGAATAGGTCTCCTTGGATAGTAAACTTTTCATAATCTGTATCAATCAGCTGAAGTTGACAGCATTTGTATTTGTTAAGATGGAATTAGCAATTATGGAATTACGCCTCTCGCTTGTAGACAGCTTTAGATAGGCAGCAGCAGCCCTCGTGACCCCGCTTGGGATAAGTGTGACAGAACACAAAACACACACCGACAGTTTTGGAGGAAACCTTAACCTTAGGTCAGTGGATTTAATATCTAAACCTAATTTAATACCGTTGGTTTACCCTCTCCTCTGAGGGCTAACAATAAGCCTAAACCTAAGGTTGTTTGATCTAATATGACTCCATAAAATTACCATTGCAACCTCTGATTACATTATCAACTTCTCATGTGTAATTCCCATATTGATTGTGAAATTGACAGTGCCTTGCCCCTGCCATCTTGATTTAACAGGCACCTATGTTGAACAAGTGGTGCCTGCCCATTAGACAACATGCCCAGTTTCTTGTCTTTAATCTTATCCTCTTGCTAGGAATAAAAAGAATACAAATGAAAAAGAGATCATACTGTATCTCTCCTATCCTGGCTTCTCTTCATTGGCTTCCTGTTAAATCCAGAATAGAATTTAAAATCCTCCTTCTCACATATAAAGCCTTAAATGGCCAAGCTCCATCTGATATCAGAGATCTGATTGTTCCCTATGTTCCTAACAGAGCACTTCGCTCTCAATCTGCAGGTTTACTAGTGGTTCCTAGAATTTCTAAAAGTAGAATGGGAGGCAGATCTTTTAGTTATCAGACTCCTCTCCTGTGGAACCAACTACCAGTTTTAGTCCGTGAGGCAGACACCCTGTCTACTTTTAAGGCTAGGCTTAAAACTTTCCTTTTTGATAAAGCTTCTAGTTAGAGTGGCTCAGGTTATCCTGAGCTATCTCTATAGTTCTGCTGCTATAGGCTTAGACTGCTGGAGGACATAGGGAACCCCATTTCATCATTCTGCTTCATTCTCTCTCTATTCTCCCACTCTGCAGAATCTGTTAGTTCAATCTCTAACGTTCTGCTCTCTCTGCTTTTCCTCAGAGTAGCTTTGCCTCGTCAGTTCCTGTTTGGCTGTGACGCCATCCTGGAAAGAAATATCAGCTGTGCTGCTCCCATCAACACCCTTGTTTATAGATCCTGGAGATTGGCCTGTTTTCCAGTGTGGTCCTGTTTCTCTGGATGAGCTCTCTTCGTCCTCTGACATGGGAGCTGGCTCGGAGCTCGTCTGCCTGGCTGTGTGTTTCCTGGACGGGGCCGCCTCTTACAGCTGCTTTTTGTATATCTGCTTCTGTCTCCTTGAACCCCAGTCGGCCTCGGCAGATGGCCGCTTACATTTAACCTGGTTCTGCTGGAGGTTTCTTCCTGTTAAAAGGGAGTTTTTCCTCTCCACTATCGCTACAAGCATGCTTAGAGTGAGGGATTGTATTTGAGTCAATGCAATCAACTGGTTTTCCTTAGATAGAAAACTTTGTATCAATTTGACTGTATGATCTGGTTGAACTGTAAAGTGCCTTGAGATGACGTGTGTTTTGAATTTGGCGCTATATAAATAAAATGAATTGAATTGAATACTAAATCATTAAGAGAGGGATTCTTTAAAAAGAAATAATAAAGAATTATCTTTCAACCAGGCCATTGCCGAGTACATTTTTATACCCTAGTAATCTGTGTTGGACCTGATTCCTAAATGGAAATGACAAGTATAGAGGAGCGACTCTTAAAACTACCAGCAGAGACACTTCTCGGATATTCTTTTACAAACACACTCACCCACACAGTTTATATTTCTCTATACTCGTGTGGACCTTCAATTGACTTCCATTAATTTCTAACACATTTCTGCAGCCTAACCGTCACCCTAACTCTAACCATTACGGGTTCATACCTAACCCTAATTCTAACCTAAACTCAATTTACATCTTCGTCCTAAACTTAACACCTAAGCCTAAAACTACACCTAAGCGTGAAAATGTGACCCTTACCCAAACCCAATCCTAACCTAACCTAAACTCAATTCTCACCTTCATCCTAACACCTAATTTAAAACAGCATTTGTAAACATGGGGAACAGACATTGGCACTTGGTCCCCACGATGTGCAAAGTTTTATGGAATTGGTCCCCACCATGTAATAAAAACGCAAGCACACACACCCAGCCACACAAACACAAGTTTATGGATTGCCTTGGGAAAGCCCCCACTCTTTTTATGTGCTTATCGCTACTTCACAAGAATCACTACATACAAGAATAATTCAGAATAAAGGTTTCATATCAGACGTACCTTTGCGAGCAATTTGGACGCAGTTTATCCTGGTTCCCTGGGGAAAAAGACAGGTGTAAATGAATACATGTATCCTTGATACCAGGATGACATAAGAGAAAATAAAGCTATGCTATGAGGTACAATATGTAATAACAGTATGTCCGCCTAAATTTGAATCAGTCTGTCAAGAACATTGAATCTTATTTTCAGTGCCTCTGATGAATAACATCATATTTTATCAAGAGTAGTCTTAGGTAAGACAATACTTGAAATTTCATGACAGATGCATTTTGCAAACCTCAGTCACCTCACCTTGTGAGGCCTAGAATTAAAGTCTGCTGTTAGACTTTGAATCCAGATAAAATGGTCTCTTCTTTAAGAGATTATAATTTAAAAAAGTTAAATTGGCCTTGATGTGTAACAATGACAATTTTTTAAAGAAAGCCCCTTTTCCTGGAATGGTTAGTAATTTTCTACTGTAAGTGGAAATCATAATTTAGAAGACTGTTAAACACCAACAGAGTGTCGTTCAATGGCTTCTCCTGATAAGGTGCCAGACAGGCCGCTAGAGGAGAGCCTTCCTGCCTACAGCTATAAACACCTACTCCAGCTCGTTCAGGAATGGCCAATTAGCTACCTAAGCAATCAAGCTTGCTTTGAGATTAATAAGGTATTTCGTAAATGATTTTAGTAACAGTGAATACTGAACATATTGGCTTGGTAATTCTTACAATGATTGCAGCTATTTTCAGCTAAATTTGTATCTTTTTTGCCAGCTGCTACATTCATTTACAAGTCCAGGCTTAAAAGATGGGCAAATCACACACTATGCTGCTTAATAATAGGGCTATGGTTATGCTGACATGTGTCTCCTTAAATTTAGATATCTCTATCTCTCTACCCAGTGGCTTGTAACCAGTGAAATAATCTCAACATTTAAGGTTGCGAACAATGGAATGGATTTAAAGGCCTAACTGGCATCATAATGGTTCCTACCCCTTTGAATGTGCTTGTAGCCTGGATGTAGATGAGGTAATTCTTTGTAGGGTCTAAAGGACTGTTCCAGTAGCCATTGTAGGTGTGATTGTCTCCCACGATGAATGGTGTGGCTTCGGGCAGACTGCTAGGGGCCAGCTCAGCTGTATAGTAATGTGGTGCACCTTTGACCTGGGCATCGCTGTACGTGTTTGCAGTGGGGAAACAGTCCACGTTGCCCAACTCCCTTCTTCTAACCTTGCGGGAGCCATCTTCTTCCACCACAACCACCTGATAGGCACTGAGAGAAATAGGTAAAAGATCAACTTCTCTGCAATCACAGTTTGGACTTACAAGGGTGTAAATTTGAGGCACAAATGTGTAACAAAGCTTCCAATTGGGTACAACAGCCCCACACATGATCACACCAAAACTTCACACTAAAGAAGCATTTTTATGTTAAATATATTACATTTTTGTAAAACTAATACCAACTCTGCAATTTATACACACTCACACACACACACACACACACACACACACACATATATATATATATATATATATATATATATTTACACACACGTACACACAGACACACACACATATATATATTTTTTCATTACTGGTGGGCAAAGATTATTTTTTTTAATCTTGATTAATCTCACTGTAAACTTGGAATTAATCTAGGAATTAATCTAATGATTTCTTGTGGTGAAACTGTTCACAGAAGAGAAACAATGAGGTTGTAAGTATAAATAAGATAGAAGATCACATTTTATCCTAGTTTTGTGATAAAGAAGGTTGTTTATGTTGGTAGTCTGTTCATGCTAAGCTAACATTATGTTCTGGAGGTTTATAAATATTTATTCACATCATGTGTGCTCCATCCAATGCAGATCATTGGCTTCACTCCCATCTAATGAAAACTAGTGTAATTGGATGAGTCGTAGAACACAAGCACATATTGGTTAGCTACTCGTCAAATTTGTGCTGACGCCAAAGAAAATCATCAGAAGCAAGCAGGTGTTCTTCAAACTTTAAACTCGAATTGTCTATGCCATGCTACAATGTCAGATTCAGAAACAGATGTGGAAATGTCTGAAAGGTGAGAGCGTACTGGGAGATGGACACCAACAAGACCTCCTTCAGCCCTATCTCAAAGATTTTTTTCGAAATTGTGGTAAAATTTAGCTTCTGGCTGTTTTTTTTTTTTTTAGGTTACTTTATACTTATATACTTTAAGTAGTTTTTGGAGCACAAACTTTTTAACTTTTGCTTGAGTAAAGAGGTCAGGCTGATACTTCAACTTTTACCAGAGTGTTTTTAAACTGCAGTTTCTATACTTCTACTGAAGTAGCAAATGTGTGAACATGTTGACACCACTGACCTTGATTAACATCACATGACACCTTTAGGTTTTTTATACATTTTGCTTTTGAGATTGGTCTGCTGCTTTCTGAGCCTTACTAATCATTTCCAATTGTCCTACAGACCTGCAGTTTTTAAGGTCACTGTGCAGCGCAGATGTTACATTAATAGATACGGATTACTTGTTTGTTGTACCTGACGGGTGCTCCTCTCCCCAGGGCAGGGCGCAGCAGCACAGTGATGGTACTCTCTGACTCGCTCAGTGGAGACGGGATGTCTTCAAAGTCAAATAAAGGGGCTGGGAGCAGAAATTGAAAAGGAAAGAATAACACACACATTAAATAAATAGGTCAGAGAGAGGCATACAAGCAGTATATTTTAGAGAACATCCAGTTTTGTCAGGAGCATTTAAAAAAGTATATCAAGATACAGTGAGCCACCTTTTTTCATTACACACAAATCTACCATGTGTACTAGGGTTGCAATTAATGATTATTTTGCTAATCAATCAACTGTCAGTGCCATTTCCATGATGTGCCTTAGACAAAACTTTGTTATTTTGTATACACAGAGTATACACATTGTGTAAAAGATTTGCACTGTAGCGCAAGTATGATGTTTACAGTGTGATGCAGAGTCTGGATTTTTGACTTAATTAGTTCACCAGTCTTATGGCAGCAGGGAAAAAGCTGTTACCGAACCTGCACGGGACACACAGCGCTGAGATGAAATGTCTTTTACAGAGGGGAGTGTAACCCCGATGATCCCCTCTGCTGTTCTCACCACTCTTCTCACGTTCATCCAGTCTGAGGCGCTGCAGCCTCCACACCACAGAGTGAGGCAGCTGGTCAGAACGCTCTCTATGGTGCTTCTGTAGAAGATCATGAGAATGGGTGGGGGCGGGTGGGCTCTCCTCAACCTCCACAAGAGGTACAAGTACTTCTGTGCCCTTTTGGCTAGTGAGGTGGTGTTCATAGCCCAGGTGAGGTTGTCGGCGATGTGCACCCCCAGGAATTTGGTGCTGCTGACCACCTCTACAGCTGAGCTGTTGATGACCATTGGAGTGTGGTTAGTCCAGTTCTTTCTGAAGCCGAGAATGATCTCCTTCATCTTCTCCACATTCAGGACACACTTTCACATCTCCTCATTTCCTATCAGATGCTGTAGGATGATGGTGTTGAAGGCTGAACTGAAGGCCAGGAACAGCATCTGCACGTGGGTGATCTTCTCCTCCAGGTGTGCCACTCTCAGGTGAAGAGTGGAGGAGATGGCGTCCTCAGTGGATTGGTTCTGTCAGTAGGCAAACTGGAATGGGTAAAATGTTGGGGGGAGACTGGAAACGATGTGTTCTTTTACCAGCCTTTCGAAGCTCTTCATCTTGATGGGAGTCAGCCTGATAACATACCTTCCCAGGTATGTTATCGGGCCCTGTTGCCTTCCTAGAGTTGACTCTCCTCAGTCTTTCACACGTCCAGCATGTCAAGGTAGAGTACCTCTTCTCCCTGATGGGGAACAGCTTTCACTGCTGGAGTGCTGTTTAGTGCCTCAAACCTTCCAAAGAAGTTGTTAAGTCAATTTAGCAAGTTAGCATCAGCTAGGTCCACCCAGAGAGAGGGTGCGTTGTAGTCTGTGATCGCCTGTATGCCTTGCCAAATCCTCCTGGTGTTGCTGGCATAGTGGAAGAGATGCTGGATCTTCCAGCTGTTGTTCTGCTTTACTGACCTGGTGTCATGTTTAAAGTTGGCTCTCGCTGTCCTCAGTGCCTCTCTGTTACCAGACCTGAAGGCTGAGTTCCATGCTTTTAGCGGTTTCTGGACCTCACCAGGGTCGTTGGTCTGCCTCGGTGATGTTCTTTGTGCTGCTGACTTCCACAATACATTTGTTGAAGTAGGCTGACACAGTCATGGTAACTCATCAATATTGATCTTCTTATCATAAGTTTCTGCAGCTTCGAACATGTTGCATTCAGAGTATTCAAACAGTCCTCAGTCAATATTTACAAACTTGATGTCTGCAGGGAAGAAGCTCGCGACCGATCTAGCTTTTTTACACCAGTTGTTGTCGATTTAGACACACAGTCCCCTTCTCTAGGATTATTTGGTATGGATGAATTGACATGACTAATCTCCTTCTTTTAAGAGACTTGGAGTTGAGATGATCCATTTCGTTGTCCAGTGAGCGGATTTTGGAGAGCAGGATTGAAGGGAGTGTCGGTCTGTGGGGATTCCTTCTTAGCTTTGCTTTTAGCCCGCTTCTGCTGCCTCTCTTACTTTTTCTCCGGCGTGGTCTGCTCCATGAATGTAACTATGTGCGTGTCTGTCCGAAGCACTCCGAAGCTTTTTAAGCAGTCAAAAGTGGCTTTGTTTACAAGTCCAGAAAAAAACTCTCAATGATCGTAGCTCCAGCAGGGGCTGGCGGTTGTAGACACAGGATTGATGCTTAGTTTGTAGAGTTCTAGGCGGCATATTTTATGGATTTGTGAAGAGCTGTGCTGAGCCGCTCGCTGCCTATAGCCGACCTCATCTTGAAACATTTTTTAGTTGTAAGGTTGTACTTTTTGATTAACTAATTAATAATTGAAGAGGAAAATGTTCTTTAATTTAGAAAAGGATACACTTGAAGAATTCTTTATAAAGTATGCTGATCTGTCTTGCTAATTGCCAATCATTTCCACATATGCACAACACAGTGTGAAATTGATTGTTAGCAGTTATCAGTGTTACTTCTTAGTGGACACTTTGATAATCACAAAGTTTGATTCAATGTTCTGTTCACATGTATATGTATACATACATATATATAAATATATATATATTAGGGATGGAACGGTTTATGAAAACCGTCCGAACCGTTCGGTTCGACTGTCTCGGTTCGATTCGTGTGTGTTGCGTTCGGTTCATGCGCTGCTCCGTTTTTTCATAGGCGAAGCGTTTACACTCCAGAGCAGAAGGTGGTGGTACTGCGACCAAAGCCAACCACCAGTAGTAAACAAGAAGAAGAAGAAGAAGAAGAAGCGAAGCAGCGTAGCCGGGTGTAGCAGAAAAAAATCAGTTGTTGTGGAGAACTGTGTGGGTATGGCGAGTGGGAAAGAACAGGAGTTGGAAGAAGCGCCAGCAGCACTTTATAGGTCTGCTGTATGGGAACACTTTGCATTTAGAGTGACCTACGATGACGGCGGAAAGAAAGTTGTGGATAAAAGTGCAACAGTGTGCAAGCATTGTGCAACACGTTTTGTTTATGCTAACAGCAACATGACCAACATCTAATGCTAACCCCGAAATCCCACATACTCCATCAGTGCCCCGCTGTGCTCCAGACCGCCTGCATAAAGCAAAGCCTACAGCCTCCTCTGCGGCTCCCGTCCGATCCGCTCTGAGTTCCTTGGAGATCGTAGAGAGCATGCGCGAGATGATTAAATTCAAAGCAGCAAAACATGCGGAAATTATCCATGGTTTCCGCGAATCATTAAAAATAATTACAATTCATTAACTTTTTTTCATTAATTTCATTAAAAAAATGTTTCTTTAATTTTTATAATTTTTATACATTTTTTAATTTTTTGGTGTAACAATAAACATATACCGAACTGAAAACCGTGACCACGAAACCGTGAACCGAACCGAACCGTGGATTTTGTGATCCGTTCCACCCCTAATATATATATATATACACTGCTCAAAAAAAATTAAAGGAACACTTTGAATCTCAATGGGGCAAAAAATTCATGCTATTTATTTATACTGATATGGACTGGGTGATGTGTTAGGAACAAAAGGATGCCACTACATTTGATGGAAATGAAAATTATGAAAATTAACCTACAGAGGACTGAATTCAAAGACTCCCCAAAAATTACGCAAAAAAAATGATGTGGCAGGCTATTTTGCAAAAATTTCATTGCAGCAACTCAAAATGGTATTCAGTAATTTGTATGGCCCCCACGTGCAAGTATGCATGCCTGACAATGTCGGGGCATGCTCCTAATGAGACGACGGATGGCGTTCTTGGGTATCTCCTCCCAGATCTGGACCAGGGCATCACTGAGCTCCTGGACAGTCTGAGGGGCAACCTGGTGGCATCAGATAGATCCAAACATAATGTCCCAGAGGTGTTCTATTGGATGAGGTCAGGTGAGCGTGGGGGCCAATCAACGGTATCAATTCCTTCATCCTCCAGGAGCTGCTTGCTTACTCTCGCCACATGAGGCCAGGCATTGTCGTGCACCAGGAGGAACCCAGGACCCACTGCAAGAGCATAGATCTGACAATGGGTGCAAGGATCTCATCCCGATATCTACTGACAGTCAGGGTGCCGTTGTCTAGCCTATATAGGTCTGTGCGTCCCTCCATGGATATGCCTCCCCAGACCATCACTGACCCACCACCAAACCGGTCATGCTGAACGATGTTACAGGCAGCATAACGTTCTCCAAGGCTTCTCCAGACCCTTTCACGCCTGTCACATGTGCTCAGCGTGAACCTGCTCCCATCTGGGAAAAGCACAGGGCGCCAATGGCAGACTTGCCAATTCCGATGTTCAGTGGCAAGTGTCAATCGAGCTCCACGGTGCCGGGCAGTGAGCACAGGGCCCAATAGAGGATAACGGGCCCTCAGGCCACCCTCGTGAAGTCTGCTTCTGATTGTCTGGTCAGAGACATTCACACCAGTGGCCTGCTGGAGGTCATTTTGTAGGGCTCTGGCAGTGCTCCTCCTGCTCCTCCTTGCACAAAGGAGCAGATACTGGTCCTGCTGATGGGTTGTAGACCTTCTACGGCCTGTCCAGTTCTCCTGGAGTCACTGCCTGTCTCCTGGAATCTCCTCCATGCTCTTGAGATTGTGCTGGGAGACAAAGCAAACCTTCTGGCTATGGCACGTATTGATGTGCCATCCTGGAGGAGTTGGACTGCCTGTGCAACCTCTGTAGGGTCCAGGTAGCGCCTAATGCTAACAGTAGTGACAGTGACCCTAACCAAATACAAAACTGGTTAAAAAGAGTCAGAAAAGATGAGGAGGGGAAAAAATGTCAGTGGCCAAACAAAGAGTTATGTGCCCATATGAAGGCTGTGATTTTCAGAGCAGTGTTTATGCAACATGTAATGCTCATAAAAGTAGAGTACACAGCGGAAGTGGTACATTACAGTTTAAAGCTGGAATAATGTCAAAGATTGAAGGTCCAGCTCAGCTGCCAGAAGTGGATGAAGAAACCCCTTTACAAGATGATATTCAGGGTGAGACTGAGCCGGTAGATTACATAAAGGACTTGGAAATAGACTTGGAACATAATCTGGCCTCACTGTTT